GGTGAGACACAGACTCCGAAGCAGGCTCCAGGCTCTGAGCCACCAGCACAGAGCCTGATGCGGGGCTCGAACTCACGGAACCATTAAGATCATGCCCTGAGCCGAAGTTGGATGCTTAACGGACTGAGCCACTTAGGCGCCCCCGTGTGAGGAGGTTTATTACACATAGACATTCAATAACCTGAATAACTGTTTGTCATGGTTACCAAGGTCACTAGATTTTCCTCTCCACTTGGGCCTGGGTTTGGGCGCGGCAGAATTTAAGGAGGTGCTCACGGTTAGAGTCACAGGAGCGCAGGCGGGCTCTGAGATGTTGTGCCCCAGACATTGCGCTTGCCTCCCCTGAGCGCGGTCTCTTACCTGGGCTCACCTGGCCTGGTGCAATGCACTGCAGACTTCTCAGCCTCTTTTCTTACCTGCCACCCTGCAACACAGTTGCTTTGTCTCAGAGAGCAGGGAAGAATTCTGTTATACGTAAATCTGGACTTATGCTTCCGCCTCTGTACAGCGGCTCCTTGCTTGCTGCTCGCATATTAGCCCTTTGCCTTCCTGGTCTCTCTGCCCCGTGTTCCTTTCCAACACAGCTTGCTCCTTGACCTCCTCCGGAGCCTCACAGAAGGATCACCTTCTCCGTGAGGTCATCCGTGACCCCTTTAACTTTGCGCCTGCTCTCCCCACACTCAGGAGCTGCTTCCTGCCTCGATTCTCTCGCCAGCACTTACGTTTTACTTGCTTCATTGCTTCCCCCCACAGGACAGCAAGTGGCAGGAAGGCACAGGTTTCGGTGATCCTCTCGCTGCTCTACGCACAGCGCCGAGACTGGCACCTGTCACTCCGCCCGTGTTTGCGGGATGGGTGGCAAGGCGCGGGGGACTCACTTCAGACTACGCGGCTGGTGCCCCAGGCCCCCCCTGGCCATCCCCCTGTGACTCGTGGGCCCAGCCAGTGCATGACCATGCTCTGATTTGGCAGGTAAAATAACATACTCTGTTGCCAGAGATCACACTCTACCCCTGTTCCCGTCCCCCTCCACCCCCCGCCCCCCTTTGTCTTTTTTGGCCTCAACTCATCAGAAGCTTTGTCTCTGGAAAACCAACAGAGCCCTCTGCCAGAAAGGTCTGCCCGACCTTCTTGTTATTTCAGCTGTTTTCAAGGCCCTCCAGCAGGCTGCTTGGCCACAGGGAGGCCCTTGGGGAGCCAGGTCAGGTGATGGACTTGCGGCCCTGGTATTCAGACACCGCTACACCACAAAGCGCGTCTTCAGGTTGCCGCGTTCCATTCCATTCCTGGCCCTTCTGGCCGACAGCTTGACTGTTGGTCATTTCGCTGCTGATGACCGCCCTTTCCCACAAGCGAGCCCGGAACTTGAAGGGAGGCCAAGCTTCCGAAGCCTTGCTTTGCCGTGGGGGTCAGAGAGAAAAACATGAATCGCCGCAAAGCCGATGGGCAACTCAAGGTCACTCTGTCACTGATGAGGCACCTGGAGTGGCTCATGCTTGTGCTCAGCAGGGGTCTATCCCAGTTTGTTCTGCTTGGATGGAGCAGGTGGGCCTTTCTTGTGGGGTCTGTTGAGGAAGGCGGTCAAATTCCTTCCAGCCCAGTGGAAGGAGGAGGGGAAGCTCTATTTGCCAAAGACTACCCTTTTCTTCCTTAGCCCATAGACATGCACCTTGCCTGTGTCCAGGGGAGGGAGGGAGGGTGAGGCATCAAGAAAGCTGGGGAAGCAACCTCACATAAGACCCGGAGCACAAAGCCATTTCCCCAAAGGTCATCGAGATATAGCGGACAAATAAAACTTTGTGTTTACTGTGTACGATGTGACGTTTCAATATACGGATATAGTCTGAAATGATTCCCACAATCTAAGGAACACATGCATCACCTCACACAGTTATATACGCTTTACATTTTTTGTGGTGAGACATTTAAGATCTACCCTCCTAGCAGATTTCAAGTACACAACGGAGTATCACTAACCGTAGTCACTGTGCCGTACCTACGTTAGACCCCCGAAGTTGTTCATCTTGCATCACTGAAAGTTTGCCCTCTTTGACCCACATCACCTTATTTATGCCTCCACCCCCACCCCAGCCGCTGGCAGCCACCATTCTACCCTTTGCTTCTGTGTGTTTGACTTTTTTAGATTTCGTATAGATTTCGCGAGATGGTGCAGTGTTTGCCTTCCTGTTGCCTGGCTTATCTCACTCAGCCTAATGCCTTTCAGGTTTATCCAGGTTCTTGCAAATGCCAACAGCTTTCTTTTCCATAATCCTTCTTTTTAAAGGCTGAATAATATTCCACTGTATATATATATTATATATGCAGTACATTTTCTTTATTCATCCATTCACGGACCCTTAGATTGTTTCCGTATCTTGACTACTGTGCAGAATGTGGCAGTAAACACAGGGCGCTGATCTCTCTTCACGAATACTGATTTCATCTCTCTGGATATAGACCCTGAAGTGGGATTGCTGGATCACACAGTCATTCTATTTTTAATTCTTTGAGGAACCGCCATCCTGTTTTCCATAATGTCAGCTTGGGTCTCAATCAAAGCCTGTGGCTTCAGGTCCATTCTTTGAATGTCTAGTTTGCCTTTTCACTGTAGTTTACAATAAATAAATAAATAAATAAATAAGTGGGGAAAAGATTAAATATCTCCCTGGAGGTATGGGCGTGAAGGATAATGCAATGGTGTGCTGGCTAAATTAGCTTCTTTCCATGCAGTGAAATTTTTAAATATTAATGATTCTCTTTGAAAATCCTCAAAGGAATGGTTTATCATGGAACTGGTTAAGAAAAACAATCTGTTTATGTTCCCACCTTAATTTTAGCTTTTTTCTTAAGTGAATTTTTTCCCCCCAAAGTCCTTCGTGTTGGGTCATTCCACAATGGATTACTGACAAAGAATGAGGCCACTCTAGACTTCCAAGCTAAGTAGCTTTAAGAAGAGAAGGCTCCTATGATTGTTGCTTATGGTCAGAAGCCAGTAGAACGAGGCTGGGAATCAACCAGCAGGTCAATAAGTGTTTATTGGGCACCCAAGAGCTCTTTCTTCTTCTAGAAAGGGAGAAGTCTTCGGGGCCTCAAGATCAACAAATACCGGTTGAATCTAATTGAGTTTGAAAGAATAACTCTCCTTTTGGAAAATAGAGGAATTCGCATTTCTGAACAATTGATTCATTGGCCTCCAGATGACCATGACTGTTTACTTGAACTCCCTTTTATTTTGATTGAGTATGTATTTTTCCATGCTTTGGAGTTTATCTGAGCCTTCCAGAATTTACATATCTCCAATCCCACCCCCCACCCTCCCATCCACTTGGGCTGGCTGGCTGGCCCTGTACATTCTTTCCTCATGGGCAGGGATACCCAGGTGCGAATCATGTCCACCACAACCGCAGCCCCAGAAGCATCTTTATATCTTACAATTGGGTTCTCTAGCTCAGGCGGGCTCAATAGCTTGGGCGTCCAACATGTTTTCATTCCGTCCAGAATTTCAAGTCTGTGCCTCCTTACTTGCCTCGTAAATTTAGGGCTTTCAAGTGAAACGGGTGATACAGTTTTATTCTATGGTTTGCAACTGCAAGCATCAGTTGAACATATAGCCTTCAGTTCCTGTTTTTTTTTTCAAAATTCAACCCGATTTTTTGTTTTTGTGCTTGTCCGCTGAAGCTGAATTATCTCCAGTAGGTTAAACATCTCGTTTTAGTTTTCTTCTTGGACAAGAATCATGATGTTTTTTTAAAAAATTTTAAGTTTATTTATTTTGAGAGAGAGAGCACAGAGGAGGGGCAGAGAGAAGGACAGACAGGATCCCAAGCAGGCTCCTCACTGTCAGGGCAGAGCCCGATGTGGGGCTCGAACTCATGAACCGTGAAATCATGACCTGAGCCAAGATCAAGAGTCCAACACTTTACTGACTGAGCTACCCAAGCACCCCATGGTGTTTTTATTTCTAAGCATCTTGTTGCTCAAGGTATAATTTAAGAGCTTGTAACATAGGTGTCAGCCTGGGGTTGTATTTGATAAACTCTGTAGCTGATTTGTGTGTACATTTAAGTGTGAGAAGCCCTGATTGAGCATGTCTGTAGAGTCCCTTATTAAAAATTGCTTGTTGGAGTGCCTGGGTGGCTCAGTTGGTTAAATGACTGACTTCACCTCAGGTCACGATCTCGCAGTTCATGGATTCGAGCCCTGCATCGGGCTCTGTGCTGATGGCAGCCTGGAGCCTGCTTTGGATTCTGCGTCTCCCTCTTTCTCTGCCCTTCCCCTGCTTATGCTGTGTCTCACTTTCAAACATAGATAAACATTAAAAAAATTTTAAATTACTTGTCAAGATATAAAGGGACAATTTCCATTAATTTTTTTGAAATATATTCCTGACATTTTATGGTGAAAGATTTCTGCTAGCAAAATCACAAGTTCTTCAGTTGAGTACCCATAGAGTCCACCTAGATTATACCATTAATTTTCTTTACGTTTCTTTTTTTCTCAAGTTAAGTTCCATCAAGAATTTTATAGAGAAATATTAGTGGACAGCATGACTGTTAGAATCATGTCTTGGTAATGAAGGTCTCACTCTTCCTTCTAGAATTTTCAGTGGGTTTGGTAAGGTCGTACTTAGTCTGGGAATTTCTTGTGAATCAGAGAAGCATGGTGGGGTCAGAGTAGGGGAGAAACTGGGATTTTGCAGATTTGGGTGCTGGTCCTTGCCTCTCCCAGAACAGTGGACCTCACTGTTCCCATCCATACAGTGAGTGGGTTGAGCGACGCTGTCTGTAATGGCATTACCAACCTTGTGATTATCGGTCCATTGCAAATACTATTATCATCACCATTCGTCAGGTGGATAAACTGATGAACCAGTTATATAGTCAAATCAGAAGGAAAACATCTGTTGGCATGGAAAAGAGATTATTTCCTAAGCTACTGAGTAAAACACAGATGTACTGGCAGTTTTAAGTCTGTTTTCTTGTCAATTTTTGTTCTTTCAG